GTCTCTGCCCGCGGGCAGGAAGAACATAAGTGTCTACCTTGAGAATTGGGAGATCTTGGAGCTCCAGTTGTTCGAGAATGTCATTGTCACATGTCTGGAAATTCTATTGGACTATGGTATGGGGCAGAATAACAGTACCACTACAAGAATTGAGGGAATGATGTTTTTCGATAGTGATAGGAATAGTATCGATATGTGAAAGAAGAGAAAGATCATGAGATTGGGTAGCATTCTGGACTGTGATGATGCACATACCACTCTTAAGAGCATGAAAGAAAATATCTCTACCAACATGGCGTAGGAGTGCTTTGCCAATACTATGGTCAGAAAGATAGGCAGTAGAAGAAGTCTGTCTTAAAGAATTTAGTCCATTTTGTGGTCCGAAATTGAGTGTGGAGAGGGAGTGCATGGCGTGTCGGTCTTTTCTGAGTAGAATGGGAAGGTAACGAAGTAACATCATCAGGAGATTGTCGTTGGCGTTTAGAAGTGGGACCAGAGTTGGTCCGCACTGTAGAGGGAGAGGCCGGAAGCATAGTCAAAGGAGAGCAGAGGTCAGACAAATCAAAGGAATCAGTCGAAACCCCGGCACCTGAAGCGGGTGATGAAACAGCACCAGCAAGAGGTACAGGGACCTTAGAAGTGCCTGAAGAGTGGCCAAAAGACGAGGCGAGGTCAGAACGGGGTGCGGTAACAATAAGGGGCCCGGGGGTAGTGGGCTCATGGATTGGGTACTCCATGGTTAGGTTACTTCTTTCTTTTTGTTTTTATGAAATAAAGAACGAAGAAAATAAAAATAAAAAAAAAGAATAAAAAAAGGGGGGGACCGGGGAGGGATAGTTCCTAGGAATAATGAAAGGGCCAGAAATCTCCCTCTGCGCCCAAGAGGACCTCAGCACCGCAAGTAGCGCAGATGCAGCATGGAACCCGTGCCATACCCTACTCTTCATGCCAGTAAACAAGCAATCCGGGATAGCAACCTCACATCTGCCAAGCTACCTCGGTGGACAAAAGAGAGGGCAGCCGGACATCTGCCACAAAGCATACCTCCTTCGGCCCCCACCCCGGAATCCGAAGGTGGCTTCCAGAGATACACCCATCGTCCAAAAGACACCAAAGTCACCCTCCGGGATACCGGAGAGAGATCGGGACATCCCCAGGCGATCCAGATTCCACGGCAAACTAAAGCCACCACCAAGAACCTCAGCAGAATGGGATGGACCCCGGTACCCTTTCCCCTACCTAGGAACTAGCGCGATTGTGGGAAAAATCCCAAAGGCCAAAAAAGAAGGGCAAAAAGGGAGGGGTGGGGAGGAGGGGGGAGGAAAGGAAAAAGGGGAGGATGGGGAGTATGGGATTGGGAAGGGGGGATTGGGGGGTAATTAGGTTCGGTCGGAGGAAGGAGACCGACAGGTCTAATTCCTCAGACCAAGAGCCTCTTCATCACGCCAAGGACCCCCCCCCCATGAAGAGGTCCCCAGTCATACAGATGTTGCACATGTGTCTAATTCTTTGTTTCGTTCTATATTGGACATTATCAAGTGTCAAAACTTTACACAGAGCGAAACGTTGTCACGGAAAACCTTGTACGTGAGTATTGCTTGAATTTTGAATACTACCAGTTTTATGTTCTCATTCCAGCAGAAATTCTATTAAATATTATCAACTTTAGTCCAAGAGTAGCAGAACAGTTCACGCAACTTAAACCACGAAAACATTGGTAACAAGTTGAAAACACCAAGAAAGATGCTTAAGAGGATTAAAAGATATATCAAAAGTTCCCGAAAATTCATCTTTCGCTAAAGCAGGAATTCAAGATGGCTTCAAACATGACTGCTGTTCTTTATTTTCTTCGTCTTGGTATTCAGACATGATAGATGTTAAAAATTATGTGAATGAATTTTTACAAGTACAGTCTTCAATTAACGTTCCACCCACATAACTGGGGAGAACTCTGGCACATCTAAAGCAGATTATACCTACTGATATTGATGTACCTTAACAATTATACACTAATTAGTGGTTCAATTTTTATATTATTTATTATTATTATTATTATTAGAAAAAAGAAGAGTAATTCAGTTACATTACATATTTTATGGTCCTAGTGATATATCTCAATACCCCTTAAAGACAGGCAACTAATATTGGCCAATAACTAACTACCTTACCTGTTTTGAGTTATAATTTACACTGTGAGGTGAACATCAGTTACAGTAGCACACTTGATGGTCAACATCACTGCGTCCAGTATTATCTTCCATACCAGCTTCATTATGACAGCTTCAAAATATATCTGAGCACTTCTAGATACTCATTAGAATCACTCGTCTCATGGTCCACAATTTTTGCCGATACTCTTTCTATCAGCCTCGATAACCCACAATTAAAATCTCCAACACTCTAGTTAATGTTTACGTTCGACCATTTTCGATGCGTCTCTAAACGATTATATTACACACACATATTTAATTACATTCAGTAACATTTCCAGGTGTGTAGT